GTGTGTAGCAGCATGTTCTTGACGAGTGCTCCGCTCAATGCATGTGGGAATGTTTTTAATTGTCCAATGTGAAGTGGAATGGGAGCTCCGGTGGGGGGGGGGGGGCCGTGTCAGCTCGTGTTTAATACTTTATCCGGTCTCATTTCGCTTTCCCGCATGATCTGCGATATCGTACGAGCGGAGCGAGAAATCAACATCACGGGACGGACACGAACGCCAGTGAGGACGCCGTAGGTGCCGCTGCGCCTGCTCGCTGGGAGAACGTTGCGTGGGAGCCACTGCCGTCCCCCCCCCCTCCTCCTGCCCGGGCCCCCGAGCGGCGAGTGGTACCCTAGCGGCTAATGCTGATGCTAATCTAAAGAGGGCCGACTGACGAATTTGCTGTGAGAGCAGGTGGAGGGGGGAAGAAAAAAAGAAAAGGGTGGGGGGGGGGGGAGGGTGGAGGCGGCACAGGGGGGGCAGGGAGAGAGAGAAGGGCCTTTTCACTCCCTCTGTGTGCACCTCACGTCCCCTCTTACCCTGAGCTCAATTACAGGTGTGATCCCCAAAGAGGAAACTTCACCATGTCATACAGATGTCTTCGCCGGGAGACGAGGCGCGTTGTCGTTTAACGGGACGTGCTGCCGTGCCCGCTGCTCACAAACAACACGGCAAACACTTCGGACTACAGATTTCATTACAGGCCAACAATAAATACGCAGGGGGGTGTGGGGGGGGGGCAGTTAATACTCACTGACAGAGTAGAGGAAACCGGAGGCGGCCGTGCCCGTCGGAGGGAGAATTTAACAATTCTGCTGAGTGAATTAATTTAAAACAATAACTTGTAAACAATAATACTCTTTCAGTGAGCCATTCATGCTCCATCATAGTAAACGTTCTTTACAACCCAGACAGCTCCATAAAGTGCTTTAGGCATCATTGGCCACAACCGTCATTAGTCAGAGCCTGTGTGTAAAATCTGAATAAAAAACCACAAGCCCGTATCTATTTTACAGCGTTCCATTTCAAACGTGACACAAGCGGAGAAAACGCTCTCCGCAAACAATGGCCCCGGCTTCGCTTTAATTTGATTAGGTTTTCGTCTCAGCGAATGCCAAGTCCTGTTTTGCCTCAAGAACATATCTCTTAATCACGTTCCATCCAGGCTGCGTCTTTCATCTGAGTCTCACAGCCGTGGCTCGCGCCCAACTTTCTCCTGCTGAAAGGTAGAACACTACGCATGCACACACATCCAACAACAGGGGAGGGGGGGAGGACGGGGGGACGGGTGGGGGGGAACGGGGGGTACGATGACAAAAGCCCGGCTCTCATCTCTGTCACATAAAGTGATGTTCTGTGTGTAGCTGTGTGCGGCTGAGGCGCGTGTGCGCGTGCAGGCGTCTGTCTGCAGGGCTCAGATCCATGTTGTTTGGTTTGTTTCTCCATTAAGAGAGCTGTAAAGGAGAAGGAACAGATGGCTGCTGGCCCGCTCTGTCCTGCATCCTCTCACAACTGCCACACTTCCCGTGCGTCCATTAATCTTCCCTCACTACTCCTGCAGCACAACTTTATTAAAACAACTCAGGAGAGCGCGAACAACAAGCCCGCGCAGCTGTCAGGAGCAAAAGACAAAACCATTCGTCCACAGAAGAACGGCCTCGGATTCCTGGGCGCATCTGTAAAACAGAGCCTGTGGAAAGCGCCGGCTGCGTAGCGGAAGGCGGATGCTCGTTTCCAACGCAGCTGGAGCGGAGGTTGGAGTTCAGAGGCGTGAGGCTTGTGAAACTTCCGCATGTGAGGCCTCGGCTCCGGCGCCCCGCGATGGGGCTACCGGCGTCCTGCGCTGAGAGAGGTCGTGGGAGAACGTGGTAATGCTAAATCCATAAACTGCTCACATTACAAATTCTCATGTTATATTTGTTTTCTTTCCAATATGAGTGGACTGATTCCCCGTTGGAGGGAAATCCGAGTGACCTTTGCGCAAATGGCCACACAAAGCGAGGCGTAAATACCTGAAGCTGCCATCGCGCACGAGCTGAGTTGGTCGGTCTGCCTCATCGTTCTCACGGGAGTAAATATACTGCTGTTTCAGGCCTAATTTACATGGAGCACTCTGTCACTGGGAACGGCGCTCTGTGTGGCCCCTGCGCTCCGTGTCCGTAGCAGTCAGCGGCTAAATCGGAAAATCAATTCCCATTTTAATTATCGGAATAAAGAACTTCAGGAGCCAAATATGAAAAAAAAAGAAAAGAAGAAGAAGAAAAAAAAAAAAACACTCTTCTTCTAGATCCCCTTTAATTGGAAAGTCATTTCTTCAGGGCATTCTAATGGTTCTGAGGGAAGATTGCAATGAAAATGGAGTTGATGAGCTGGGGAGGAGGGTAGGGGGGGGGGGGGGGGTTGGTCTGACCCTGTGTGTTTTCTTTGGTCGGCCACACAGTACTCGGCCCCCATGACAGAGGCACCAAATGAAGACTAATCCCGAGAGTTCACACACACACTCCCTCACGCCCGTGGTCACTCGTCTCATCCGTCTGCTGTCTGGGGGAGTGTCGGGGGGGGGGGGCGGCTCTCCGGGCAAACAAAAATAAATATCTCCTCCCTCACAATTTTAAAGTGTAATTTAGGTAAATGCACCCGCCCCGGGATTTTGATAGTCCTGCGCCTGCGACGCCAATTCTGATGTGGAGAGCCTCCAAGACTTCGGGTGGTGCTGGATGGATTCGTGACAAAAAGGGCTTCCTGGTGTTGCCTAATTTAAAAGAATGACAACAGGACCTTTGTGAGAGACATTGTAAGTTATTTAAATTGTAGAAGCCCTTTGTGTCCATTTTGTGGATCGACTCCCTTCATGGATATTAACTGCGATGACACAATTCAAATGGTAATTTTATACATTGAATGGTTTAAAATCTCCTTCATGTGGAGGGTAGGAACTACTTAAAGTGGCAATAACAACGTTTTTACGTTAAACGTGGATCTGCTGTTCATCATCACCATCGGAAATTACGCACAAAACATTCAACCCCGTCACTTCTGCTGGTGACCCCTCCCCACCTCCTCAGAACAAACGCGTGTTGTGTCACATCAACAGGGCATCCTTTGCCCCCCCTCCGTAGTTATGGGACATCACAGAGCGATGGTGTCGTTGGGAAAAGGCCCTATGAGAGTATTGGAGACGTTAAAGGGGGTGTCGGCCCCCCACACATCACCAAAGGATGAGAGGAGATGGATACGCTTTGCCTGAAAGAGGAGCATGATAAAAATACATTCTCTGGGGGAGGGGTGAGGAGGGGTGAGGGGGGGGGGGGGGGGGCGCGGATCCATTTCCGCCTAAGAAGCGCAGAGTTAAAAGGTGGACCCTGTACAAATGAAACTCAATTTCACGCCACATTATCCCTCCCTGTTCTCTTTCCTGGCTTTCATTTTCATTAAGACCAGAGACAATCATAAATTAATAATTACCGCCGAATGTCTAAGCGCAAGGCCGCCGTCCCCCCCCCCCGCCCCCCCACCACCCCCTCGCCGCCGCCGTCTTCCATGTTCACGCTTGCAAAATGTTAATTTAGGTAATGTGGCCTGGCCCTTGTCAGATGAAACTGTTTTGTAGTTTGGCTAATACGTAATGGTCTATCTGATTAGGTGACATTAGTCCTGTCGTTCAGGCGATCGGGGCCTGTTCCTTCGCTAATGTCTCTCTGCAGACTCTGCTCATGCTACGTGCTTTTTTTCCTCTCGTGCAACTTTCTTTTCGTGTCGTCGGTAGTAAAACGAGCAGGATGGACGTGTTCCTTTGGCCTCTTTGACCAACGGTGAAATCAGCGCGGGGCATCAGGCGGAATGACCCCGTGTGGGTGAGACGCGTCACGCCGAGTGGAATGAAACGACGCGGCTACGATGCACATTTTGGTATTTGAAGCCGACGTGCCTCATGGTCAGATTTTGTACCCAATTGAATTTATTACGCAAAAAAGCGCAGTGGTTTGAAGCATGTGGCCGCGGGGCCTCTTCCTCTCACACGCAGGAAGGAAAAAGGCATCAGATGGAGAAACGAAGCGACTGCGTGAGAGCTGCTGCAGCGACGCGAGGAGAACCGTCCGCTCATTAAACGGATGAAGTGGACGTCGTGTCAAAGTTCCTCCGACTCCAGAGTGAGCTTCAGCTGGGCGGGGGGGGGGGGGGGCGGACAGCCAGCGGGTCGAGTCTCAACTCAACCGGAAGCTCGCCTCCATGATTGATCGCCCATGTTGTTTTTTTCAAGGTTGATAGAAAACTTTAACCTCATTTTTTAATAAAAAAAAAAGAAGAAAAAAAAAAGAAGATGGAAGAAAAGCGTGAAATATATCAGGGCTTGAATTTCCACCATGGCGGCATTGAATTATGCAGCAATCAGTCAATTATTTCATCTGGGCGGCTGCGTCACGTCCCCTGCCGGGGGGGTTGGGGGGGGGGGGGAGTGGGCCCGGCGTGCTGTGTCAACACATTTCACTCAGAATTGCTTACTAGAGAAATTTGTCCCTCAATGTCGATTCCGTGGTCTGCGATGCGTTCTGAGAGGCGGACCTGAAGGATCCCTGTGGATAACGGCCGTGTCTCGAGAGCGGAAAAAACAAATATAATGTCGATCCCGAGCGCCCGGCGCAGATTATAATTAAAAAACGTTGGACGGGCCGTAAAATCTTGACTGTCACATTTAGAAAAACAGATATTTGACAGACATGTTAGAAGCTGCTTCATCGTTTCTTAACTAACTCCCTTATTTAAAGCAAATAGTTGAATGCATGAGCAGCTTTGTCCTATGGATAGATTGTGAATCAGTATTTAAATGTACAGTGAGCCGGGTCACCATCTCTACATAGAAAACAGCAACGCACACGCAGGTAATTCACTCAGACGGAAAGATACCACATTCATTTGAAGTAAATAACATGCATCCCCCCCCCCCCACAGGCCCACCAGCACGTCTCCCGCGTGGTGAACTGGCACTCAGAGGGGCGCGACAGACGAGGCCGACGCAGTTAAACTCTCACAGTTTATCATCAACATGTTAACTTTATTTGAATTTGAAGTACAATGAAGAGATGGTTGGAGAAGCTGTGTATAAGTTATCAGTGACAACAGACCGATAGACACTCCATAGAGAACAGAAAGGAACACAGAGTGAAGGTGGGACGCGCCTCCTCTCCTGGTCGAGCTGCTCAGCTAAAGGGCTGACGTCAGCCGGGTGGGAATATACACAGAGATCCAAAGGTCCTCAGGGGAACGAAACGGGGAGATTATGATTCAGCTAATGTTCTATTTTTTTTCTCTCATGACATGAAACACTCTGCAGAAGGAAAGTGTCAATCAAATGTCTCCCAAAGCTGCGTCACCGCTGATTTGTTTCTCATAATTCCTTTTTTTTTTTTTTTTTTTTTTTTTACAGCTTTGAGAGGAGCTGATTTTGAGTCTCGTGACAAAACAAAAATGTACAGTAAATTCCAAGAAATATTACCTCTGTTACAAAGATTACAGTACTATTGACAGCAAAAGTCTTCCGTTTTGAAAGTGAAATGTTTGATAATTACTTTCTTCAAAAATCGGTCTGGGCTCGAGTGAGTCAACCCTAGTATTTGTTCAGCACAATATAGGATTTATTAAATATCATAATTCCAGGACAAACATTGACATGCCTGCATGCTTTCTCACCAAAATGGCAGCTATAGGAAAGAATGATGGCTCAGAAATAGAAGAAAAACAAACTGTAGGTTTATATAAATGTTGGTATTGTTTTGCCTAATAGCTCTACTGCATACACAATACCTCTTAAACGTTATGTACACATACCTCACCTCAGAGGGGTTTTCCTATCATCATCATCAGGTCTTCTATGTACAACAATGGTAAAAAGGAAACTTGATTGTATTGTCATCTAATTTAGAAAACATGAAAATCAAACTCGTTCGACAAACACACGGATAGATTCACATTTTTTTTCTTTCTTCCCTCGCTCCCTCGAAAGGTTCATCTCCACACTCAGGATTCAATTTGAAAATACAAAATAACCAAAACTTCAGTCAAATTTCTTTTCGCGAAGCTTTCTGGCTGAGATACAGTATAAAAATCTTCAGTGCTGTGAATCAACGGGGTTATTATCAACCGTGTACCACGGGTACATATTCTTTTTTTTATTTTTTTAACTGTGCTCCATGTGTTTTGTCCTCGCTACGTCCAAACCTGCTCCACCCAACTGCCTCACGCTGGCCGCTGTGCGAGGAAAAGGCCTTCTCTCCGTTCTAGACAGGAGCCGCTGCGAGCCGCCCGACTTCTTCCCTCCACTAAATCCGCCTGAACGAGGGCCTTGAGAATCTTTTATTTTGTTGTTGTTGTTGTTGTTGTTGTCTTCTTTCCTCCCGGCGGTCCTTATCAGTACATCACGGTGGTTTTCAGGAACAGTCTTCCATCTGCAACAGAGGACACACAGGAGCCACGGATGAGCCCGCAGCCGACAAACGCGCCGATCGGCAAGGCGAGTAAACGCCGCCCGCTGCCCTTTAACCCCGGAGGGGTGACGCAAGGCGCGGGGGGAGTCAGGTGGGAGGAAAATAAGGCCCCCCCCATTGTGTATGTAGGTGCATCAGTCAGCGCGTACAGGTGTAATTTCTCTGTAGCGTGCATCTCTGATAGCTGCGATAACCGCGGCGCGGCGCTGCTGATGTGAACGCGCTCTCCTGAGTGACACCTCCTGCGTGGAAATAAGTGCTTACTGAAGACGGCAGACGTCCCCTCCGCCGCCGTGTCTCCAGACACCTCCAACCTAACGAGCTTTGTCCATTTTTTCCCAGCGAAACGTCTCTCGCCTGGAAGCGTTCGGCTGGGCGACGCTGAGCCGGTAACGGAGCATCTGTTAGGCGCGTTCTGGCGTTCATTACCGGCACATTTCTGCTCTGTTGTGTGGGGGGGGGGGGGACTAAATTTGAGGAGCACCTCCTCTGTGGGCGGCGCCGCCTAAATAATTGAGCGTTAGAATGAGGATCTTCACGCAAAGGGGGGGGGGCGTTGGACATGAAGACGCTCCACTCTTATTCTGCAGGGACCTTCTTTCTGCACCTTTAGGAGCTACACATCGGACCCATTAGAGTTTTACGTATTGTCCTGCATGGACAGGAGACAATAAAGGCTTGTTGTGTGTGTGTGTGTGTGTGTGTGTTGGAGAGGAGGGGGCGGGTGGGGGGGGGGGGGGGGGATGCACAAACACACAGGCTAATTACGCAGCGCTGCCGTGGGTCTCAGAGGCGTCGCACTACGGCTGCTTCTATTCAAGCAGCGAGTCCCGTGTAAAAGTCATTACAGCACGAATGCGCGCTACGAGAGCAGACAGGGCGACGGGTGGGGGCCCCAGGACACACACACACACACACCACCTCTCACAACAAGAGCAGACGCCCGGGCCGGTTCGATTTGATCAGCTGACGGGTGACGCCATTTATCGTGTTTATTTTCCCCCGGTCTGACGCGCGGGATCGCCACGAGGCGGCGAGGCTCGCTCGAATCGAGGCGCCGAGCAAATGTTGAAACATCCGCTTCACACACGCAACTGGGCGGCGGCGGTGTTTTTACGGGAGGGCGGGCTCATTAGAATATGCTGGAAACTTTAGCATTTCTATATTGAAATCGAGATGAAAAGTTCATTAAAGAGAATAAATATTTCATTAGATGCTAAATAAAACAAAGGGAATTTTTTGGCTTCTCTCAGCACAAAATTCCTTTGAAAGATTAATTAATACATGTAAATTATGCAAATTATGCCCATGCAAATATTTTATGAAGACAATTAAGGGATCCATTAATTACAGTCTTTTTTGCTTCAGTGACATCCATTCATTTAATTTTAATTTCACTTTAACTGTTTTGATGTTTAATCTTGCAACAAAGAACTTTATCTGGGCGCGCAGGGGTCGTGTAAACTTGCCGAACACGTCGAGTGGGGAGCGGCGGGGAACCGGAGAAGAGACTGGGGGGGAAGATATTCGCGTGTGCACCGTTGCCAGGCGGTACTGGCGAGGCACGAGGTCCCAGTAGCTCGCCCGCCTGTGAAAAGAGCCGCCTCTCCCTCTTGGACCCGATTCAACACTGTAAAAGCAATTAATAAACACAGACTGTGTTAATATCGCAGAATTAGAGAAGTGTGACAAAAGACAAATAGAAATAATTAGTTCTCTAAAATTATGCCCTCATTATTTCACCCCCCCCCTCTCCCCCCCTCGCTCTCCCTCCATTCTCCTCGCTGGGTGAGGAGCGGAGAATAAACCCACACATTCCTCTCGGCTTCCATGCGAGTGATAGGCTTGTTTTTTCTTTCTCCCCCCTTCTGCTCGTGTAATTTATCAACATCATTTTTTGCCGTTGGAGGTTAATTATACGGCGAGGCTCGCGGAGTGGAGCGGGGGAGACACGGGTGGCGGACAAATGCTTCTCTAATTGAAGAAAAACACGAAAACGCAGCCCGTTACTCAGGTTCCCGCCTCCTCCCACTCGTCAAGGCGGCGGTGCGGGGGGACGAGACCCCGAATAAGGCCTTTCATTTCAGCCAGTCTTCCACACAATGGCCGCTGTCAGCGCGGAGCGAGCGTGAAGCTTTGACGCGTTTCCTTTGACACGATCACGCGACAAAGAGGGCCCAGCTCTTTACACCAGAGTTAAGAAATTATCCCGGTCGAATCCCACAAATTCGGTATGAAATAGGGGGCTATAATTAACGCTGTATCTACAAGTTATCTTTTAAACACTGACATATGGACTTCTTCTTTTGGACATCAAACTGCGTCAGATCCCCGCAGTGACTGGATGACATTTAATTAAGCGGGAGCCCCCGTTTCACTTAGTGTTTCTTTTTGCCCTTTCACAAAATATCAGTTCAAGTGGACTAATCCGACATTAGAGAGTTAAAGCAGCCCAACTTGTTGGAGCCCGCGGAGAGAAATGTTTTCCCCGTTTCACAGCGAATTACACCCAGCAGGGCCCCCCCCCCCCCCCCCTCCGGATGAATCGGGGACCCCTCCCACCGATAAGGGCGGACGCTGGCGAGGCGCATTAAAAAGGGGGGGAGACGGCGGAGTGATAATGAGGAGAGGTGTCTTGTATCTGGGTAAACACAGATAGCAGCCAGGCTGAGGAAGGTTATCGGCGCGCCGCCCTTCCGCGAGCACGCGCTGCGCCCCCAAGGCTAACAAACAAACACGCCATTAAAGATGTACAAGGCTTATTCATAAAACGGATTGATTTGCCCCGTTTATTGCTATCAAAGGGGGGATTCCGCTGCGGTTTTATGACTCATTAACGCTTCCCGAGCTGTAAACAAAACACTTCTCCCGCTCTTCCTCCTCCATTTTCGGGGCTTTGCCGTTCCTCCGTTTTGTCTCTTTTATCTAACAAAGATCTGTTTCTGGAAAAAAAGCCTCTCGGACGCTTAAAGTGGAGCAAAAGAGCAATATTTTTTCCTGCAGAAAAAAGACAATGATCTTGACCTGGTGCTGCGGCCCAGATGGTGAGCTGTACGCCTGAACAGCAGGCCCAGTAACACTCATGTTCATAAACTCGGGCTGTGTGTGTGTGTGTGTGTGTGTGTGAGGGGGAGAGAGAGGGAGAGAGAGGGAGAGAGATTTATTGTCTCATCTGAGCCCCTGTACCTTGTATTGTCCTTTCAGCATCTGTTCTTCCACTGCTGCGGTCGCTCTCCATCTCAGGGGTCAGAGAGTCTGAGAGAAAAGAGGGATCACGGCCGTTAAACATCCGCCCATCACCCGCCCGTCACCAGCAGCCTTCCCTTAGCTGTGCAGTGTGCGTGCCGCTCGCACTGGGGAGGGTAATAAAGACGCTGGAATCCTTGACTCGGCGCTTTAGCGTAAGTGTCCAACTCAAAGTGTGACCCGGCATTCAAACGCCTGCCGGTCGGATCCACTCGGGTGTCCGAGGTGAGATTGTTCTGGTATTAGATTATTAATTACCCGATTTGGATGTTGTAACGGCGTGCTGCAGGCGGGCAGCCGCGGAGCGATCCCGCGCGTTCATCATTCACTGTGACATTTTGTGACACGGTGACAGTCAATCATCCTTTATGAGCGCGGCGCGCTTTGCAATGCGCGTCCTTAATCTGCGCTAACGGAGCAGACAGACGTAATGAACGCCGGGATGTGCGGACTTCACTTTAGTACCCGACGAACAAACGACACCAACGAATGCAACATATGGTGCATCGTATCTACGTCGCATGGAGGAAGCATGCAGCTGAAAGTGGGTGGTGTGTGGGGGCGAGAGGGACCGTAGGTGGAGCAGCTGACCGTTGAGTGAGCGCATGCTGTCGGAGGGCGAGGGCTGCTTCAGGGTCTGCTCCACCTGCTCCCTCCTCTTGGACTCGTACTCCAGGGCCTCCTGGAGTTTCCTCTTGGCCTTCTTCTCCTTCTTCAGGCGCTTCTGAACGATCGCTGCGGCGGGAGAGAATCGGGTTATTGCAGCTGCCTCCGTCTGGCGGCGGCGGCGGGGGGCGGGCGGGGGGATTGTAACTAATTTGGTAAAATCTAGCGCACTATATTAGAAAAGAGGGGGGAAATCAATTAAACCTAAATATTTCATAATATATAAAGATCCTCTTTAATGAAAGACAATACTGACTGCGCCTTAACAAACCGCCGGGGGGAATTGAAGCCAATTGAAACATTTATTGGGATATTTTTCATGAATTTCTCTCATTAAACATAAACGACACAGTTAGCGTATGAGGTCGATGCATTTAACATGAGAGCGCGGCTGGATTTCTCAAACTTAATGTGTATTACTAATGATGTGGACTGATGTGTTAAGCGTACAGGCAGCAGCTATCGTGGCGCTGAGGGGGGCGAGGGGAGGGCGGGGGGGCAGTACCTCGTTCTCTGCTCCATGGCGAGCTGCTTCTCCAGAGTCTCCCTGAGCTCCCGCTCTCTGAAGAGCTCCATCTTCAGCTCCGTCTTCTCCAGCTGCACCTGCTTCTCCTGAGCGCGCGCGTTGTCGATAGCCACTTTGAGCAAAGCCCTGCACACACACACACACACACACACATATATATAAACACACCGAGAAGGGAGGAGCAGGGAAACAGTGTGTGTCACAGCAGATCTTTGAGCTGCTGTCAGTGGTGAAGCAGGACTCCTTCATCCCGGGATCCAGGACCAGAATCCTACTTACTAAGCGCAGCATCTTTACTCCGGGTTCCTACCCGGGCCTCTCCTCCCGGGTTCAGAATTAAGTCTCCTCACGCAGCGCAGCGTGAACCAATGATGTGAATGACAAGTGTCTCACGGTGTATCAATTACATTACGGCCGTTCCAAATAGACTCCTGACAGTCCTGGGGGGGTAAAGAAGATGTACAGTACACCGCCGCCATTTTCCTCCCAATTACTCCCCATCCACACGCAGTTACATCAGATGCACTGGGCTACATCTCGCTAATTGTCGATTCTTCTGACCCCAATTTATTCCAAGTTGCTTTATCTTAATTTTCTGCTTGGTTTCATTTTTGTTGATTTGTATATAAATATTCAGCGTGCGGATCATTATCAAAGATGACTCGGAGGAGTGTTTGGGAGCTTGCAGCAGGCTTTTACTCGTGGCTTCCTAATTACCGCACAAAGCCAAAGGAGAGGCAGGACTCTCGATGCCAAAGGTACGAGTGCAACGAGGAGGGCAGCAGTGTGCACACATCATTACGCTCAGGCAGAAGGCAAATACATTCATCTTTCTGACTGGGTGGGGGGGTATATGAGCTGTAGCCTAAATGGCGCTCTGAGTACAGGTGTTCTTAAGGCAAGCAGATTTACAGTAGCGTGTATCTGGAGTCGGCTCCAAATGGCTTTTGGAACGGGCAGCTCAGTTTTCTGGCTTAGTTTTTGTTTTCGCCTTAAATAGTATTTTTGACCAATTTGCCTTTACGCTAAAATGTATATTTTGTTAGTGGATATTTTATATTATGTTGATTTTTGGCGGCTCCTGTGGACAAAGCTGGTATTCCATCGGAGGACCAGACTCCCTCTAGAAAACACCTCCTTTTAGTGGGCTACTCTCAGTCTCGGTTCTGCTTTCTGCCGAGCCGCCCTTCCCTACAGTACGACCCGGGCTCCAGAATAGCGAGCGGCAGGGGAGCGTGACAAAGCTCCGCCCCGGGCCAGAGAGCAAGCCAGCAAGGGTCCGGGTGGGTCCATGGAGGGCCGAAGGCCCCGCTGACGTCTGCCCTGACCTGTCACATTTCTGCGTTCGTGGTCTTGTAGGTCGTACGTAATTGTTAGAATGTTCCATAGCAAGTTGCAAGTTCTTTGCAGTAATAAAAAAATATATATTAACAAAAACCTTTAAAACAAATCTCAGACTTTTCTTTTTGCTGAAGGAGTTTTACGAATGACCAAGGACAGCAGTTGTGGAAGGCTTTGAAACAAGCTTGTAAGCAGACCTCGGGTTAAGAGAGCCGCGGTGATGAATGGCTAGTGTTTGGAAAAGAGTGGTAACACCGAGTTAGATGGTACATTTGTCAGGTGAAGGTGTGCTGAAGGTTCCCAGGAGAAGATGTACTTCTGGAGAATCACAAACCGGGTCCCGCGCGGTCCACGTACCCTGTCGTTGGGTGGGGGGGCATCTCATTTACCACACCTCTTTCAGGAATAAGTATTGGGGAGGGAGATGCTGGAAGCCAACCTTTCAGCCAAAGAATAACATGCAGGAAGTAGTATTGCTGGCTGAGTGATCTGAAAGGTAGATTAAACACAATCAACTTCCTTTTTTTTATTATAGCATGTGCAAAAAACCCCTGGAAATCTTGTTCCTGGTATGCACGCTATAGATAAAGCATCTCATTTGGAAAATTGTTATTTCAAATCTCTGCATCCGATATAATTGTCCCCTCTCCTCCCTACTCTCGCTTTAATGCGATTCTTTTTACAGTGCGGTGTTAACATAAGTTTGTGAGATCACAAATCCCCGTTTCCCTCCCATTTAAGAAATATCCAGCGTCCCCCCCCCCCCAAAATCAGAAGCAGAGCGTGGCCTGGGGACCCCGGAGGGGCTCTGCGCCGCATTCGGCGTATGCACGCACGGGCTGCCTGTCAAACCCAAGATGACATCATCCTCCATTCATCACCGGCGGAGAGGGGGGCAGGGCCCTGCCATCTGCCGCCCCAGCCTCCCTCCACCGGGCCTCCGAGGAGGGGGGGGGGGGCAGATACAGCCCGGTCCAACTGAAACAGTATGTCTGACACATGTTGTTGTTGTTTTTTCTGTCCAATGAGCTTTTATCAAGCCAACTATTTTTGCAAGCGCTACCATCTTGCAGAGAGCCGGCACATTAAACGCATCCAGTGGACGACAAAAAAAAAGAGAAAAAGGTCTCTGCAGGAAGTCTGCGCTGTGAGCTGTTTAATTGTTAATTCCATGAAAAGGGCAGGTAGGGGGTGGGGGACACAAAGTTTTATTTGTAATGTGGATCCCCGGCTGCCTCGTGCACGGCACCTCTCTGCTCTCATCCAGTATTCATATCTGTTTGTGCGGCAGGCGGAATCTTGTACAAACAGCGGAGTGGAGCCTCCCTCCCTCCCATCAATATTCACCAGCGCTCGCCAAGTGCTGGGAACAGCTGGTCTTACATTAATTAGTTTAAAGTATTTATTTCACCCATCCTCTGAGCAGATTGAGCAAAAACATTGGAGATTATTTCGAGCATCTGCAAATGCCCTGGAAACATCTCGGCGCCAAAAGTCGAGTGTTCGGATTCACAGTTTAGGTTTGTAATTTGAAGAGCGATTTTTTTTTTCTTCTTCTTATCTTCCAGGAAGGGGGGAGACGGTGGAATATGCACCGCTGGTCCGTGGAGAGAGTAAACAACCTTTTCTCCTCTTTCAGAAGGAGTTCACTTCTGTTGATTAATTAGAATGGATGGTTGCCTAATGGATTAAAATTTGTTTATAATTTGACTTCATAAAAATAATGAATTGCCTACTTTTAAGGAGCCCCTCCTGTGCTAATTTGTTTTTGTTGGGCCTGCGTTGGGTGGGGTTGGTTGGGGTGGAAACGTATGGCGCACCCTCCTTCACGCGGTGGCACGACATGAAAGTCCCATTTTATCGCAATAAAACAGCTAATCACAGATGAAAAGCATTACGGTTGGCTCCAGCTCAGGCTGATGTAGATGTATGACGTGCATTATAAGCACGTAATACATCTACATCACCCACCTCCAATAAAATCACCATAACAACCAGAGACGTTAGTGGACCTCGGGGAAACGTCTGCTGCTGGAGCTTTGTAATTGATTTGTACTGTAGGCACTTTGTCCCTTATTTAGTGTGGCATTAATCATAAATCATCGCTTTAACAAACTCGGGCTTCTCACTCAGCGGGGCG